CCTATGTTCTTTGATAGAGAGCAGTTGCTTCCTCTCTCCCCCTCCACGTTTGAGTGGTAATATTACTAAAATACTGAGAAAAAGAGGCACCAAGTGCTTTTCACAAGTTGGCTTCTCCAAAACAATATATACCAAATTACCTGGCTCATTAGAAAATAAATCCCAACTTAAACCCATATCACTTCCTGAAATTGCATTAAATTACAATAGAACAAGTACTCTTAATGATACAATACAAACCTCTATATACAGAGATGTTAAGAACAGCCGCATTTCTTCTTTTTCACTACGTGAACACCTGTTACAAGCCCAGTCATCCAGAACATGATACTCTTAAGGCCTCTGCAGCTCAGGGATGAATAGCCTTCTGCACGGTAAATTCCACTTTTAAACAACTGCTCTGTAGAATACCAGTTTCCGTCAAAAGAAAAATACAATCCCAGTCTACAAGCTACAAACATCTCTAAAAAGCAAAAACTGCATCTGCAATGAGGTACCGATACCTTAAAACAACAGCCTGAACTCTGAATGCCACCTCTTTCATTTGTGTTCTGCTTTGGCTCCATAACTCCACAACTGCATCTCTGGCTATTAAAAAAAATAATCTAAGAATTGACTCTTGCTATAAAGAAAACAGCTACACTTTAATTTACCTTTCGCTCTAAAAAAAATCTCATCATGTTAAGGAACTCAATGGACTAGAAAGGAAATCTGTACAGTTGAGATTCATGCAAAACAGATGACTGAAAAACAAAACATGGAATCCAACTGTCAAATGTGGGGAAACAAGGTCTTTATAGACAAGGTTATGGAGCTGAAGAGCAGTTCTGTAGTGAAAACCTAGAGATTACCTTACAGAACTCAGCTGCAAAACCCACCTTTCTGGAAACTCACAGTAAGATTTTGCACAGTGTTGCCAAGACAACGCAATGGAAACTGAAGACAGGGGACCAGAACATGCTGCCTGGAGATGTTAATAAACTCTTCTCCTTAAATGACTGTGGTAGGAAATAATTCATCAAAATATATTGCAGTGAGAATAGTTAACAATGATTCATATTTTTTATACTGAGGACAATGGTGTAATTGTTTTGTTTGTATAGTCCTAACAAAATACCAGTGAAACTACTACGCCTATGAAATTACATAATAACATCTATTAAAAAAAATAATACCAACAGGGCAGTTGCATGCTTTAGAGAGAATACACACAGAAGAAACAAGATCAATATTAGAATGGCCTGGGTTGAAAAGGACCTCAAAGATCATCTAGTTTCAAGCCTACGGCAGGGTCACCAGCCTCTACATCAGGATGTCCAGATCCACATCCAGGCTGGCAGAAGTGATAGAGGAAATTAAGCATGCTACAGAATTTCAGGAATTCCTGACAGAGTACCCAAAATCTCATTACAGCATACACACACTAACTTCAGCACACATAACGCAGCAAGCATTAAGTGATTTCTGTCATAACCCCCCACTGTAGACACCCATTCCCTGTTGGATAAAGCAGTTTATTTCTCTGAAATAATCTTCTCATATTTCTGCCTGTTAGGGAGTTTATGGTCAGGACAGTTAAGGTAACTGCATCCTAAAATGAAATATCCAACCTGAACCTTCTACACTTGTGTGCTCACTAACTTAGATCCCCATTGTATAAGAAGTACACAACAACAACAACAACAACAACAACAAAATTGAAACAAGTCTCTTGAGTGGGATTTTACACACTTCAGATTTTATACCTGAATTTTTAGGTTCGGTTGTCTTTCAACTGAGTTTTCCCATATGTCCTCAGAGTATCAAAACATTTTTGTCTAAAAATCAATAGGAAAAAAGCCTCTTCACATCCTGTATTTATTATGAAGTAATGAAAATCTAGATTGCTAACATCTGAAAATCTCAAAGATGATGTGGAAGACTTATTTATTTCTACTACAAATACTGAATAACTACCATGAAAGCAGCTAGGGAAGTTTAACAGAAGTTTTCAGAGTCTGTGCTTCCACAGCTCTTCACTCTCTCACTGTTTTTTTCTTTTTCAAATTCAAAGCTAGATCCAAAATGAAGGTAACCTAAACTCGCCTTTCACTGTTTATTTAGCACTCTCCAAAGAATATGACAGTGGGAACTACCTACACTACATTATTTAGGTTATTTCAATTCAATTTGGCAAAGTTCCTGGTGATGTATTTAGCTGGAATACTGAAACACAGCAACTGCATCATTTCGTTAAAACATCAGTCCACAAAGAGACTTACAACGAGGTCTGAAATGGTCTGTTTCCCTTCACTAATATTCAAAATATCACAGAACAGGTCATTATGGCAGGTGAACTTATTTCTGAGCAGGAAAAATTGTTTTCTAAAACTGAATTTGCAGTGGCTTCCTGACTAGCTTAGTGCAAGACATTTGTCTCTCTCAATTTAATGTCTGTCAGATAGGAATAATTTTACTTCTCCAGTGCGTTGAAAGAATTAGTGTGCTTGCATTTGCACAATTACTTTGAAGATGAAAATGGCTACTTAAATGCTGTGTCATTTTATATAAATAAGCAAAACACACCTGTGTAAATCCAAAACAAGATTTTTCTCTCCTTACATATAGATGAGTACAGGATCTGAAAGTACTGTTTTTCCCATCCATTGCCATGTCTCCAAAGACCCAGTGTTTAGCAGTCCTTACTTCCTCAAACCCCACCTGCCACTTGCAGATCCTGTGACATACCTTTCACATCTTTTATGATGTCCTCACTACAGTTGCAACACAAAAATTTGAATTAAAAAAAAAATGTTATTGATGAAGGCATACTGACACAAATCAAAGATGTTATCAGTTAGGTTTTACTGATCTAACCACTTGAAGTCCCCTAATTAAAGCCTTCTTCCCTTTCAACGCACTGTTTGAATTCACAATAATTTCATGTACTCCATATATATTCCCGAGGCAAAAATCAAAGAAAACCACATTCATTTTTCTGTCCATACTCATCTAACTCTAACTCAGTGCACAGTAAACAAGCCAATGGCTTTGAAGAAACATCATTAAGATGAAACAAGTAAACATTTTACATTCCCTTTTCTCTTTTTTATAATAGCATTTCAAACTTTTATTTCTGGTCACTGATTTCTGTCTCCATATAGAGATTCAGTCACTTCTCAGTTCTGCAAAACTGATTTCTTTCCTACTTTTTTCAGTCATAAGGAAGAAATTACTCCATCTAACAAGAAACACTAGCAATTCAGTTCCTCTTCACCATCTTCTGCTCTAGCCTCAGTTGAGTCAATGACTAATACAAAATTGCAAAAACAAGACTATGGCATTCAATAAGATGTCAAAATTTCCTCACAGTTCTATGATGCCCCTGCTTTAAAAGAAAACAGATTCAAAAAAATAAAAAAACCATCAAATCTGGGAATATGTAAGGATTTGCTGGATTGTTAAAGGTCAAAAGATTTTTCACATATATAAATAGGTCAGTGGCTTTCAGCTTGGGTGTAACAAAACAGCAGCAGTACCCCCAGGTCCAATTTAATCAAAATAAAAAGTAATTTGTAAAATTTAATATTTTTACTGTAAAATAAATATTGCTATTAAAAAGAGTTTTTAAAAACTTACTATCTCTACATAAAATACAGTTAATTGTCTTGACCTCTTCCTGCCACAAGTAACTAAGATTTTTATTTCTGTGCTTTTGTTATTTTTTTTTTTTTAATCTTTTAGAAACATTTCAGAAAATGCTTACTTCTGAGATTTGAATACCTGTCATCAGCCTCCCTGTAAAGCCTGACTTTGTTTCTAGATACGATGTATTTTCTCTTTCCGTCCTAGTTTCAGAAGTTCTCTCTTCAGACAAGCTTGTCTTTGGCTCAGCTTGCAGCACAGGGGGACTGCATGCTGCTAAGCTTCTATAAGGTGACTCTTGAGGAACAATCAGCTCTCTTGTACCTCTAAACCATCTGGATCAGATTCCCAGTGGACACTGCTAGCTAGCTGCCTGAAAAGCCTCGAGTCTGCACTCTTGAACTCCAAGTAGGCAACTCTGCTGACCTTCTTCCTCATTACACCAGAAGTACAGAACTCAACTATTTCATGACCACTGTAGGCAAGATGGCCATCTACTATCACCTCTACCACAAGATCTTCCCTATTCTCAAACAACAGATCCAGTAGGGCTCCTTTCCTATTTAGATCACCAAGTACATATGACAAATTTATCTTCAACACGCTTTGGGAATTTTCAGCCTTACTTGTGTAAGTATGCTCTTCCCAGTTTATGACTAAGGAGTTGAAATCTCCCATAAGCACAAGAGCAACCAATCCAGAAATCTCTCCTTACTGCCTACTGCCTTATTCTGCCTTACTGCTCATCTGTGTCACTGTTCTGGATAAGTGATAGTAGACACCCTCAACAACATTTGTGTTGCTATTCATACCCTTAATCCTCACCAAGTGGCTCTCTACCACGACACCCCTAACTACAAGGCTGTACAGTCTAATCCTTCCCTTAAGTACAGTGCAGCACCTCCACCTCCCCTGTCCCGACTATCCCTCCTGACCAGCCAACATCCTAGTACTCCATTCATTTGGTTTTAATTACACAAGATGTGCAAATAAAAAAAAGAACAACTTAAACCTGAAAGCTTCTCCAAATACAAATTCTTCTATTATAAATTAATCACACATGCTAACATAAAATTACACCTGGAAAAACACTGAAACAATAACAAAAAAAAAAAAAACAACCCACAGGATCCAGATACCTTTGTTCTTCTACAGTTGTTAAAAATTCTGAAATCATATTTCAATTAAACAAAAACAAACAAAAAACCCACATTTTCACATTTTGATGTTGAATTAATCCAATTTTTTTGTTTGTATTCAGAGTTAGTCCCGACCCTATAAATGGAAACACATAGCTGATCTACCTGCAGACTCAAGAACAGGGTCGGAAAACATCTCATCACCATATTTTACTAACTGTAGTTTAAAATACTCACCAGTTTGCCACCAGTGGTCCAAGACAGGTACCTTGAAGACTTTTTTTGACCATTCCAGTGTGCCCACATCACAGTGTTCACCAGCTACAAACAGCATCCTGAACCTTTAAATAATAGTAAAAAAAAAAATATATATATATATATATATATATATATATATATATATTTAAAAAAATGCATCTTGATCTGGACAGGAAAGTAACACAAAAATTAATTCAATTAATTCAGTAAACATTTGTTGTCTGTGTCCCTGATAAAGAAAAAAAGGGAGGGAAGTCTCTTACTCTTCATATGATGAAATGATGGATGTACTCAATCCCACTGAGTAACAAATGAAATCCTGCAATACTACTTTATGCAATCTGACATATCATGTAAAAGAAGCTTTATTTTCAAAATTCAGAGATCTTGGTAGGTTAGTGACAGCCAACAGTAAATGGAAGCAAGGAATATTTAAATAATTTATACACAAATCTAGGTAGATATCCATCAGCAAAACAAAAAACACAAAATACAAAAAAAGAGATATCAGAAATTAGTGAAGAAATAAGCAGAAGCAATACAAAATACCTGTAGCATAACTCTTAGCTTTAAGTTCTTAGCAACGTTCCATTTAAATAGATCTTAACGTTTTGTGAGTTATCTTCTTATATGCCTTCAGAAATGAGTTTGGTAGAGAAAAAACAGCAGCTAAATACCTTTTCCTATACAGACAGAGACTACTTACATATAAATAAAAAAATAAATCATGTAATCCTACAAAACAACGATGATGTCAGAATAACGGTATTGGAATTCAGCCTATTTGGCTGGATGCTCTGATGCAACTCTGGCAGAAAATAAATGCAACACCTGGAAATCAAGACAGGTGCAGAGCATTTGCACACCAGTAAATCAGGCAGTGCCACATACCTGGGCAATAGCCCCCCCCGCCAGTCTTAATCATCATCTTTCATCAAATTTTGCCACACTGCTGTCCTTCATTAAGCCCTACAAATTGATTTCACGCTTTGTTTAGTATGATAAGGTCCTCTGTCAACTGTAGCTTTCTTAAATATGACTATTTCTACATAGAATCAGGACATTACAGTACATCACTGCAAACTGCACGTTTTGACCTTTACAAGATTGGCACAGCAACTTTATTCCTTTTGTGGAAGATTTTTTGCATTTCTGATTTTGTAATAAGCAACTTAAAACCATGTTAACTTGCATTTAAACTTGCGGATACTCACAACACTGGCCAAAGATTGTCATCTTATAAAAAGTTACAAAAGTAAAGAATGATTTATTATCTTGCTCTCACACTCCTTGGAAAAAGAAGGCAGGGATACCTGGTCTCAGAGCAGCAAACTTCCTTCATGTACCAAAAAGTCATCATGACTATAATGTGACAGATTTACAGAATCATCGCACAGCCCGAGCTGGAAGGGACCTGCAAGGATCACCAAGTACAACTTTTGACTCCTATAAGGACCACCCAAAATCAAACCCTATGTTTGAGAGAATTGTCCGAAAGCTGCTTGAACTCCAGCATCTTTGGGCCACAGAGCAGAGCTCAGCACTTCCCCTCCGCACCCTGCAAGGAGCTGGAGTGCCATCAGGCCTCCCCTCAGCTCTGGACTGAACCAACCAAGGGACCCCAACTGCTCCTCACACAGCTTATACTCCACACCTTTCTCCACCTTTGCAGCCCTCCTCTGGGCACTAATAGTTTTACATCATTATATTGCAGTATTCTGAACTGCATACAGTGCTAAAGGTGTGGCTAGAAATAAGAATTCAGCACTCTCAAAGCTGAAGATAATTTTTGGAAAAGGTACAGAGTAAGCAGGTGGGTTAACAGCAAGCTTTTAACTTGCTGTCAAGCTTGGAAGTCAAACCCCTGCTGCTGTGTCAGACTGAATAGCTAACATCTGAGAAGGAGTTTGTCTCTTTGTCATATCCTCATATAGGACAGGGCAGAAAGCAAGTTCTTTTTCAAGCAAATCGGAGGTCTTAGTACTACAGTTTTACGTGACTAAGCATATGTCCACTGCTAGGACTGATGTGTATATAGACCACGTCTAAGAATATGGATGTCTGATCACAGTAGGGGGGTGGTCTTTTCCTTGATGTCTGATTGTACTGTGTAGGTGAACTGGAGGACACTGACACAGAGAAAGCAGAAGTCCTTAAACTGATTTCATGGAAGTCTGACACTGTGCTAGTCAAAATTCCTGCTGAAAGGCACAGTCTTTCAAATCTTTTTATTAAATGCACCAAGACTGGAAGTTACTATGGAACATCAAGCAATATAAAAACAAAAAAGACAGATAAAACCTCAAAGCAAATGTGTAAGCAAGCAGCTTTCACATCAAGGAAGCGTAGTGTTTTCTGTACTTGTAAATCTGCATCATTTTGGCAAACTGCTTTCTGAGCACATCTCCCATATTAGAAGGTGATGATTTAATGAGTGTGTGCCCAATTAGAATCCTGAATGCATTTTCTTTGAAAGCACAAGCTACTGCCGATAATTACAGTTAATAGCTGTTGAGCTGAAACAGTTAAAAATTTATGATAGCGAAGAACAAAATACTGAATAAATAAAACCCACAGATACTTTCTGAAAAGCTTTTTGAGACTCATGTTTCATGCAGTCACTTTTCCTAAGTCAAGTGTCATGCAGGACACTTCTCCTAAGCATTGCTCAATTTACATGGTATTGAATATTCTGTAAGTAGGCCTACTAAACACAGAATTTCAGCTCAGATGTAAAAATTTAACTTATGAATGTATTAACTTTATAATAAATGCCCTTGCTTTAAAAACAGAGCTAGCAATAGGCCAAGCACTCTAGGATTTGTCAAAAAACTTAAGACAGCATGTTACACCTTAAGCCAGAACCAGAACTCCTCCTTTTGAATCCCTAGCTTTAATAATCAAGCCTGTTTCCGCAGGCTCTAGAGCAATCCCATGTTGTGGGAAGAACTGGGACTAGCATTTGGACAACTTACCATACAAACCCATCAAAGAGAATACAAGAGCAAAGTGCTATAAGCCAAACAAAGCATAAGAGCTATGGACTTACAGAATCGTAGAATTATTTTCTCCTTTCAAACAGTATAACAAGAGAGAGGGCAACGGTTATAAAATGTCCCACTGTGAACAATTTTTTAACAATCCACTTAAAACTTCAAAGCATGTCAATGCACCTATTATTGCAATCATCTACCACTGCAATGCAGTTAATGGAGTAGAAAGATCTTAAAACCTCTCCATTAAGTAAGTATGTCCTACGTTGTCACTCAGAAAATCAAGATTTTAGGCCCTATTAGTCCAGTGGAGTGGATATGAAGTGCTACCTCATGCAGGGGACAGATGAGCATTAGTGGTCTTGTCACAATCTAAGTAATTCAAAACAGCATGCACATTTTGGTGTCACTCCAAGCACAAAGAAACCACATATCAAAACCACTATCCCAAAGCAGGAGCGTTCACATGAGTGAACTCATGCTAAACTCTTCTGGATTAAAAGATTGTAGAAGTGCTTTTAAGTCTGGAATGCATATGCCAGTTTTTCCTGGCAAAGCAAAACCCTGCATCACATTAAATAAACTTGCATCACATTAAATATACTTGTCCTTACTAAAAAAAAATAAAAATAAAAAAAAATGTGAGGAAGGTTAATTTACAGTTCTAAACAGAATCTGGAAATAAAAAATTCTGACTAATTCTTAAAGCCTCTGGAGTCCAGAGATACTTAAACATGTGACACACACATATATTTTATTCACCTCATTTTTCTCCACTGATATCCTTGCCCATTCCCCTCCCCGATGATATTTTACCCTGTTCAGGAGGATTCAAGTACTTGATGTTTGGGTGGCTGAGTCAGAGACACAGAATACAAAAGCAGCTCAGCTCCTTTTCCAAGTACAGGTGAAAGGGAGCTCCACAAAAGCTTTTTAGGAACTCTGCTAAAGACTAAAGAAATAGCCATACATGATCGACAGTAGCATAAAGTAGGTGGTAGAAAACAGCACTCAGTAACGTACTCCAATTGTCCTAGATTCTGAGCTTTAATCACATCTCCAGCAGCATGTGCGAGTCATGAATTTTGTGAGAAAGAATTTCTAACAGCTCTGAATTTGCTAATTTAATTTCCCATCCCCTTGTTCCTGTGTTTTGAGAGAGAAACTAGCAGTTACTAATCAACTTCAGATTTGCTATTTCTGAATGGATTTTATGTAGCCAGTCTTGTGTTTCTTCTTTAAACAATCACATTAATATCTGGTATCAAACAAACATGCTTCAGTCTCCAGAATCTCTTGATATAATAAAATGACTAAAGCAAAGAACACCAAGTAGGCTATGGAACAGGAGCTACAAATTACTACTGCTCATATTTTAATCTGTTGAACTGTTACCCAATTTCATGTATAGCTGTCAGTTGTTAATCATTTGGAAATTAGACCTAACCAAATCATAGAAATCAAGTCAATTGAAAGATGGATTGTGATTCCAAATAGTTCAATGCTATGGAGTTACCTCATGAAGATGTTAACTGACTCCAAAAGCCAACCAGAATACACGCAGGTACTTGCTGGTCATAGAATTTGGGTTGATTTTCAAACACAACAGGCAGCAGTACAATCAGATGGACTGCTTAGCAGCTCTGTGCGTTATCAAAAACCTGGTCTTTAAAGACACCACAGAGATAAGTGGTTGAATAGGGCTTTTATCTCACAGTCCGGCAAATCAAAAATCTCTTCTGCTGTTTAACATAACCCATGTTTAAGACATAAGTGATGTTTTGTCTCAAAGGGAAATATTAATTTAAGATTCCAAAAGCCAATATGGAATTTGAATAAAGCACGCTATAAGCTTTGGAACATACAACATAATTTAGTTGTAAGTGATGCAAACAGTATCAGTTTTTAACAGGGATTTATATACTTTATTTCAGTTCAGAAGAACAGAACTCTGGTTATCATTCTATTTACTCCTGTAAATCAAGTACTCCTTTGTGTACTGGAAGCTGGCATTGCCTACCTTCTCCACATCTTATCAGGAAGTTCTTTTTAAATAGGATTTTAAAACAAAAACACCTTCACCCACAGTGTATTTTAGTATAAGTTCTCAGGAACCAAATGCACCATGATGGAACCCTCTTTCAAGAATACATTTCTGGCCATATGATATTGAGTTTCTAGAATAAGTAGGGATATTTTATCCCAGATGGCAGAAAGACATTCCACTTTACATCTTTATACAAAGTAATATGGATAATGAAGTTTCATAGCATATGAAGTAGATGTGTATGAAGTAAACATAAGACGGATTTCAAACTGAAAGGAAATCCTCTTGACCTTCAATGGAAAAGTCCATCCAAGAAAGGAGATTGTAGTCATTTATTGGACCCTATTTCTAAAGAACTGCAGTTTTCACACATAGTCAAGTAGTTAAGAGTCACAACTAGACTTTACAGTAAGATAATTCTTGCCTAACACTGAAAGAGAGGCATGCTGAAGACTGTCAACCTTACAGCACCATGCTAGTAGTCAGAGAACTGTCATTGATGCTGACTTTTTACCCGTAGGAGAAAAGGAGCTTGGACTTTATATCTAACTGACTTAAGACAATTCAAGAGAATACTACATTCTAAATGCTGCTCTAGAGGAGAAATGATGTAACAGGGAATGATATGGCCCAAAGCTGAATTAATTATGAGCAGAATCAAACTGTACTCAAATGGAGAAGCTCATCAACTAAGCACTGAACAGGAATGACAAAAATACCTTTTTAACATCTGGGACAGCTGATATCAGCAAGGGGACTCTTATTTGCCTAGAATTCTTTGGCAAGAAAATTCAGCAACTTACACAGCAGTAGCATAGCAGATTTTCTACTCGATTATTACTCTAATTATACGGACTGGCTCATTTTAGTCACCACCTAAAGAAGTGCTGAGGAATGGCAATTAAATTTTCTAGCATGTGAGCCACCTTCTTACTATGAAAGATCAAAGAAGAATAGGGCTTTAGGGTCTCAAAAGCTTTGTTCCTCATTTCATGGAAGGGAAACAATTGATGATAGCACTTAAAAGAGATGGAAGAAAACTTGTAATGAATACCTCAGGAATAAATCCAGCTTACTGATACATAAAACTTTTCAGAGTAATTAAGAAAGTGAAGGTACAATTAAGCTATGCAGCTTCTCATCTTCCTTTACTCTTCGGACAACTGTGATAGAAGGTGCTCCCATGACTGAATACTGCCTAGCGTCTCACATGGCCTTCATCTGATGATGAGTAAATGATTCAACTCCAAGATCAGATGTCATCCAAAACCACACATTCTTAACGTTTGCTGTATGATACTTAGCCTCATTTGTAGAATTACTGAACAATCACAGGTACATGAAGTCAACATGCGAAGCATTTTAACCGCATAACGTTAATAATGTATTTTAATCATAAAATGCTAAAACCTCTCCAACAGCAGTACTTTAGTGGCTTAGATTGAGTATTCAAAATTAATAGAAGACTTTGACCTTAATCTCCCTGTGCTTCAGCTTCCCCATCTGCAAAACACGGCTAATACCACTCTCTCATCTCACAACGGATTTATAAGGATGAACTCACTCACAGTTTTGAAGCACAGAGGTAGCACAGCGATAAACACTTCAAAAGACAGTATGAAATAGCAGTACATAACTGTAATCAGAAATTAAATAATGGAAAGATAAGATATTGACTAGCTTCTGATTAAATGAACACTGAAGATCCTGTGCACTCAGTGAAGTGGGAGATCATATGGGAAAATGGTACAGGATCATGTAATCCAAGACTGTATTGCAGGGTATAAGAACAGTGGAGTAAAACTCAGTAAGCAACCTTAATTCACTAAGAATTCTTAATCTTAGAGTCATCTTTTTAATGGTAATTAAAGTCATACTTTTAATAGCTCATCTCTCCTCCAAACAATCAACAGAAATTCACAACCAAATGCATACACCTGATTTGTCAAGACCACATTGCAATTCTGCTATACAGAGGCGGATAAAGCCCCAAACATTGCTATTCTCAGTTTATCCAGTACGTTTCTGTAAGAAACTGCTTCCACTGTATCCTTAGTTCACCTTTTTAGAGAGTACTGCTTTCCCAGGGCTGCCTCAGGGTCCTGCTGACGGATTGCTCTAATTGCAGTTGGTGAAGTAAAGAAGGCAGCTACTTCATGCTCTGCTAGCACGCGGAAATAGGCACCAGCATCTGGTGTTCCCACAGGCTTCCCCTATGGAGAGAATAATTTAAAATGTCACAGGATAAAAATACATAATTCCTTGACAGTTCAAGGCTTGCACATGTAATAGTAGTGGTAGCACAGCAACAGAACTAATTTCAAATAAGACTTTAAAGCAGAATTTGTTAAAAATAACAATACTGTATGTGCATTAACTTGAAAAAATAAATTTCATAAGCTTTGGGCACAATCTCTTGAACGAGTACAGGATACACCAGCTGCTACTGAGAAAAACAGGACAAACTGACAAGCAAATGAAAAGACAGCCCAAATAGCTGTTGTTACACTGGCATCAGAGGGAGTCATCTCTACATCTATCCTTATTGTGAGACAGGCTGTTAAAACACTGAGTCTCACTGGAGAACAAGTCTCTGGATGCAGTAGCATTTCAGCTATATCCCCCATGCACAGAACTACCTGTCATAACACCAACTTGTTACCTAGAAATTCTCTCTTATTTCTGGAGAAATCCCCATTCAGCTGCTTACAACTGGCTTCTGGGTATCTTTGTGCTGCTGCTGCAAATGAAGACCAGAGAGAAACCAAATACCCTTTACTGCATTAGTCTGATATCAGACTATGGTATGTATTTTGGGGGAGTGAGTTAGGGTTTGGAAAACTAAACACTGGTTTTAGCTACAGGGCATGGTCAGGAAAATTGTAAACAGAAGTAATTGGAAGCGACAAATTGTCCACTGGTAAATAACAACAAAAAATAATAAAAGTAGTTTTCTATGGTGTTCCAAATATAAAGCATACAAACAATATAGGAGAGACATGCTCTTCATATTGCAAAACCCAGTTTCATCATTATTTCATATTATTTATGCAAATAGCCATCAATATAAAGAAGGCTTCACCACTGAAAAAAAAATCACCAACTTCACTGCAGTTCACCAGTCATAAAATAAATTTATACCTCCACACTACTTGTGTAAATGCAAACTTGGAGTGCATCCTTAACAAGTGTCATTCACATTCATGTATTTCATTACAGGCACAATTTTGTATTCTTAGCCAGCCACAGGCAGTACAGTCCTGACATGTGCCACCAGCTTTCAAGAAATTAGATATACTTTTTCCATTTAAAACAGCAGATTTGCAAGAAGACAAACACAATACGAGAGATTGATAGGTCTAGTGAAAAAAGTAACATTCAAAACTCTAATTAATACCTCAATTTGTGAAGGTACGGAAAGAACACAGGCACGTGCATACCTTGAAGAATTTGCTAAATCCGCTACCTTTACTCCAGTAAGAAGGCACTAGTAACACAGTAAATCCTTTTACAGAAGGGCACACAAATCAAGTTTGTTGCCCATCCCATCAATGAAAGCCACCCCCTGCTATGATGCAGCCTCTTGGGAATTTGTCCTTTCCGCGCTCCCAAATTCTCTGCCCATTGCAAACTCTTCCATGGCATGGGTGAGAAGCTGCAAGAGTGCTGCCAGATTTCAAGGCTTCAGGGTGACTGAGGCTGGCTGTATCCCACTGGCTTTGCTGCCCTACAGTGAACTACCACTATGAGAGTGCTGCTGAGGAAGCAGAGGATGTTTATAGAAGGAAAAAAGCGAGAAAAATCAGAAGATAAAACTGAGACTTCTTCTAAAGAGTAGAAAAGATGATGAGAAGCAAACAGAGAATAAACAAAATATACCCAGGGAATCATCAATGACAAAATCTCTGTTTTTCTAACAGCCTGTTTGAGCTTCCAAAAATGGCATGCAAAAGAATGCAATTATCTTACTGAAAAAATAAGTCCTTTTTTCCTTTCATGTAACAGTTCCCAAAGAAAAATAAAAGATTTTTTTTGTCCTTAAGCCTTCTCCTTCCACACATCTTCAGGGCAGCTTTCACACGTTCATTCAAACATTCATCAACATTTGTTGAGGAACCCCTTTATTCAAGTTCATGTCTTCTCCATATAACACTTGGTTGCAGATCTGCAGGTCTATTATCTGCTTAGAAGTTCAACCCACGTCACTAACACAGCCAGTCTTAGACTGCTACGTTCCAAATGTCCATACACATCTCATTAACTAATTATGCAAATGAAGTAGTAACATTTGTAATTAACTCAGAAAAAAAAATACAAAGACTAACTGCTGGGCGACATGAGATTGATTATTCTGCCAATAATAACATAGTCTGTAATTTTTAAGCAAGTGTAAACTTCCAGAGCTCCTAAGAGCTCAGTTTCTGGCCTCAAGTGCCCAACTGCCTCCTATGCGTTTGGCTGCAGGTGCTTAAGGTCAGGCACGCTATGGCCTGACCTTGAGCGCTGGGATGACAGCAAAGCTGTGAGCAGTTTATGCTCATGCCCTCTCGCCTGATCCCCACTTGAGCCTTGCTGCAGCTGGGCTCAGGCCCAGACCTTGCACCTCCAGCAAGTTCTACCTGTTCCAGATCCTGACTTGAGGTTTAGAGAAGTGCAATTCTCCACAGATAAAACAAGAGCCTCATAAGGAAAGGAACAGGAAATTCCCCTGATAGCCAGTAAGACATAATTACCAATAAGGAAACAAAACGTTCATTTAGGGGGGCAAAAAAAAAAAAAAAATCTGGCCTGGCTATGAATTTTCTTACTGATTCTGCAGAAAAAGCCCTCCAGTGCCTCGGCAGCGGGTAACAGTTTAGCAAATGCATAAACAAAAACTGACATAGGCAAAACAAATCTGAGACTGCAAATTAATTTCAGAGCACAAAAACCTACAAATAAAATTGCCAAAGAGAGTTCTCATTTATCATACAAAAATTGTGAGCACTGCAAGATGCCACGAGAGGCTTATTACCACATATAATTTTGACTTTTTAAAAAGTAAGCATTATAAAAAAATAAAGCAGAGGGTAATTGAACTCAGAATATAGTGACATATTGCTGAGTCAATTGAAGAGTGTTAGCAAATGAGATGCTTCCATCAGATTTGCTGGCATCATTTCAAGACAAACTGTTCAGTATTTGTATCAATACTGCAGATGAAAATTTATTTTAAAAATTGCTGTCAATAGAAGCTAGGTGACAGGAACCAAGATGACAGTAATGAAGAATAAGGCAGTCAGAATGAGAGTGATCTGCCTCACCTGATTTCAGAAGTGCAACAGGCACTTCTTTTACCTAAGAGGATTCACATAGAAAAGACTTTCTTTTAATAACCTACCAAGAGACTCTGAGAAAGATAGACAGATAGGAATGTCTTTCTTTCTGGAAGTACCTAGTTTGAGCACGTAATTTATCAAACGTCTACCAACTGAGCAGTCATCCTCAGGAAGAATGTGTTGATGGATAATGTGCGATTATGAACGAAGATTCACAGGCAGCAAAAATGATCAAGGGGATAAAAAATTTTCCTGTGGAGAAAGTCAGCAGCCATTGGGATGGATTACTTGAGGAAAAAAAGACACTTGAGAGTTATAATAAAGTACCCAACTCCACATCAATAACAGCTCAGCAATCCCCTTTCTGCCATACTGCTAACAATAAGGGGCTACTCAAAGATAAATTCCAACTTATGAGGAGAAAATTCTCTCAGTGCAGTGAATATTATACATGGAACTCATTGCCACTAAAACCCACGGATACCAGACATGTCAGGATTCAAAAGGAAACATTCTGAGGAATTTCTCCTGCTGCTACTGGCCCTGTTACCAAACCCCCAGTAAGGATCTGATGCATCCTACTGAATTCATTCCACAATTATAATCAATACGGGTGTTGATAGAGAGATGACAGAAGCAGCAGAACTCCAGATACAGAGCTTTGTAAACTGATGGCAATGGCTGGAAATGCCCCAACACAGCTAAGAAACATGCTAGATGACAGTAAGTGTAATCCTGGGCTCCTCCGTTGCTGCTGCTGTGTAGGCCGTAGATTTGTTACAACAGCAGTGACCAGAAGAAGCCCCATAAGAGCTCTGAGGAAGAGGTTCCCCAGGCACAGCAACATTCATCCCGCTTTTGCTCTGTGTGGGACTATAGGTCCCTCTGTCCTAGACCACTGAAATCAAGTTCCTACTTTATTTCAGAGCTCCATGACAGGTATGGTCAACATCCTCTCTCTCATCTTCATTCCAAGTCTACGGATTCACTCTGGGAAAAGGGAAAAGTTGCTTACAGCTTGGGATACAATGCTCACAAGCAACCCAGAGTGGGCTGGGAGGCTTCAAGGAGCTTCTTTATACCTAAAGCTTGTCATGCCTTGAAGAAAAACAATCCAGGACAGATTAAAAAAGTATTTGCTATATTCAAAGGAATTCATTACTGTTCTCACATTCCTGACAATGGTTTTATGACAAGTAAAAATTGAAAGCATGTAGTTACCATAGCAATCATTAAAATAACAAGTTGTCTCCTACTATGTAATTTAAAAATAAACAAATCACTTTAAGTAGTCAGTCTGGTCTATATTCAACAGTGGTTGTCCTTGGGCAAATGTGCTCAGGCCTTTTTTCTTCTTATCTGAAGAACATTCCTGATACTCCCTAGCCCACAAGCTACCATTAGGCCAGGACAAACTTTCGCAACCATTTATAAATACACACCATTAAGGCAGTCTTCTGAACAGAAGAAAAATTTTATGGTGTCCCTTTCCATAAATATAATTTTTCCCACTATGGATTGCAATTATTTTTTTTATTCCTATCTATTTTCAATCCTCAGAAAGAAGCCACTGTGTTCATAATGTTTGTCTGAATGCTTAATTGGTGGTATCTTAGAGAAAGAAAAATTCCAAATGTCCTATTACTGTTTCATAATGATCTAACCAAAAGCAGACTACTAACTGAGATGTGTAAGTCAACTGGATACTAACTCTGCTTTTTCTTTAGTATTTATTGTTAAAAGAATAAGATTTCTACCCTTTTTGTATTCAAAAATGAACACACTTTAAATTCAGGTGTAATTTTATAATGTATGATCCCCATACATTCACACAGTGGTAAAGCTCCACTTGGAAGATCATCATGTAAAAGAGACAACTGAAAAATGACCTAACT